TAGTTTTTCTGGTATATTCATTTGTTTTACAGTTGAGGATAAACAAGTTGTTCAATCACCCTTGGAAGAGGCTCTAGAAACGTGTACATGTGAGTGTGAAAATATTAATGGCACCCCCTCACAGACTTTACGAAAGCTCACAATATGGCAACTATCCGTATACATACACAGAATGCTAGGGGTTTGAACACCCCAAAGAAAAGATCATTAGCATCAGATTTTCATAGATACAAGGCAGATATTGTCTTCGTGCAGGAAACACATTTCCGAAAAAATTCCGCTCCTACACTAAGAAATCCCAAATACCCGATAGGCTATTTCAGCCACTACACAGACGCAAAAGCAAGGGGAGTGTCAATTCTGGTGGGGGGTCAGGTGCCATTCACGTCTGATGAAGCAGGCAGATTTCTGTTTATTAAAGGGAAATTGGGAAACATTACGATTACCCTAGCAAACACACACCTCCCAAACAGGAAACAAGGTCAAGCTTTGAAAAAGATTTTAAATAAACTATCTTCATTCCAAGAGGGAATTGTCACTTTACCAAATGTTGTCCCTAGTACATAATCAAAGAGATTTTTTACCATACAGTCCCTCGAAATCCTGGCAAAGGTATACATGTGGTTTATCACTCTATTCAAGAACAGTAGAATACCAATATGGGCAGGGCCGGTGCAAGTATTTCTGCCGCCCTAGGCAAAGATCCATTTTGCCGACCCCTCATGTCACTAACTCACTGACAGACACACACTGGCAGACACACACACTCATTGACAGATACACAGACACACACACACTCACTGACAGACACACACACTCACTGACAGACACACACATTCACTGACAGACACACACTCACTCACTGACACACACTCACTCTCTGACAGACACACACACACACACACAGTTCTGGGGGGGCAACCTAAATATCACTCTGGACAGGGATTTGGACACCTCATCCACATAGCATTTATCTAGATCCAGTTCATAAGCAACTGTCCACCATCATCCACACTGCTAAATTATATGACAGCTGGAGAGCTGTACACCCTTCGGACAGAGACTATTCCTTTTTCTCTTCCCCCTCAGGCACATATACTAGAATAGACATGTTGTTCTTTTTTTTTTTTTTTATTTGAATTTTTATTGTTTTCTCTTTTTACAAATAAAGTGTTTATAGCATACAACAAAGTTAGATGTCATCTTTACTCAGCATTGATATAATGCAAAGTGTTATCATGTAATAATAACATACGGTAACATAAAGTACAGCAAGTTGCATAGGTAGTACACAGTTATAATGGGAAGTATGATATTAATCACTAGTTACATTAGGCATTTGGAAGTAGTTGTTGACTTTAGTGTGTTAAAGGGACATTTTTTTTTTTTTTTTTTTTGAAGCGTATATACAGCATATATTGACTCCGACATATGTCTTAACAGTACATCTATGTTATGCAGGATTAACAAAGTTACATCATCGAATAAATTGTAGGCAATGTGTGGTACAATAAACAAAGTAGAAGCAACAGTAGGAGTTTAACTTCGGTAGTTGATAGTATTATACGATACAAAATAGTCACATAGTGAGTCACAGGACGTTGGGCCATGGAGGTATGGGCGTCTGGGAGTCAGGTTGGATAGGTAGACCGAAGTTAAGGCGTAGATGTCAGAACACCGTGGTCTTCAGTATGGGCCTAGGTAATAGCAGTGGAGTGTTTCTCGATTCTATAGAGCGTTTAGTTTTATTAGTGTAGCCTTAAGGGGGCTTCAGTTTCTTTCACCTCCCCAGCTTCACTGCAATCCGATAGCGTCGTATTCAGTGTCAATGAGTCCTGGGACATCCCCCTTGCTACTCCTAAGTAGTCACCTAAATTCGTCCAGGTCAGTCCTCGGTTTCCACTGCGCCCCCGGGCGCCCACGGTCCCTCCCGATACCCCTTTCCCCCTACCTCCCATCCCCTGTCATGGGGAGATTACGGTGTATTGTCTATTGTGGCTCTAGTGTCATGAACGCATTCCACGGAGCCCAAGTTTTGGTGTATTTCCCATAGTTCCCTATTTTAGCTTGCACTGTTCCTTCTAATTGTTTCGTGTCCTCCACCCTTTGGATCCATTCCCTAAGCGAGGGAGTGGTAGGCTGCTTCCAATATTTAGGAACCAGTTGCGCCGCAGCCATGGCCAGATGATATAATAGTGCTGTATGTAGTTTTGAAAGGCCCTGGGGGGGTAAGAGAAAGATGTATTGGTCTGTAACCCTACCCTCCTGGACCACTTCACTCAGTTTTAGTATCGAGCTTTTGTGATAGAGCTCAAACGATTTGCCTGAGCTCCCTCGTTGGAAGTGAGGATTGTGTGTAATTGGGTATTGTGGGGATGGGATTGGAGAAAAAGCCAGAGTTTGTCTAAGCCTATGCCAAATTTTAAGAGTTGTGCCAATTGTTGGGTGTCCGTGGTGGGGTTCCTTTCGTGAAGGAGTGGAGTCGGGATTCATCCAGACTCGGCTAGTTAATGGGATCCTAGAGAAGGCGGTCTCCAGCATAGCCCATTGATGGGTGTGTTCATGTCTTGTCCATTCATAAACCCTCTGTAGGTGTATTGCCTGTTGGTAGAGTTCAATATTGGGGAGATTTACTCCTCCTCTTTCCTTACTCCTAGTCAGGGTGGTGTAGGCTAAACGTGGTGATAAGTGTACCCAGATATATTTCGTGAACATGGACCTAATCGTGTTGAAGAAAGTGCGAGGGATTGCGACAGGGAGAGTCTGTAAGAGATACAGAATACGAGGTAGAATGTTCATTTTAAGTATATTGTTCCTGCATAGCCAGCCGAAGCAGGGCCTGTGCCACGTCTGGAGATCTTTGGTAATGTCTGCCACGAGCGGGGGAAAGTTTAGTGTATAAATCGTCCCTAATCTGTTTGGGATGTGGACCCCTAAGTACTTAATTGACCGCGGTGCCCAATTGAAATTGAATTTAGACTGTAGTATTGAGTCTGTGGTTTTTGCGGTGTGTATTGGTAAAAGATCGCATTTAGTTAGATTCGCCTGGAAGTTGGAGACTTTCCCGTATGTTTCCATCTCTGCTATTACATGGGGCAATGTCAAGAGCGGGTTCGCAATTGTGAACAAAAGGTCATCGGCAAACGCCGAGACTTTGTACTCTTGCTTGTCTACCATAAAGCCCTGTATGTTGTTATTGTCTCTAATACCCTGGAGGAACGGTTCTAGGACTAGTATGAAAAGAATAGGAGAGAGAGGACAGCCCTGTCTCGTCCCATTGGTGATGGTTACTGGATGTGATAACTGACCATTGACCCTCAGTCTGGCAGTCGGTGAGGAGTAGATTGCGTCCAGCCACTCTTGCCAGCGAGGGCCAAAGCCTAATTGCCTCATTGTTTGTTGTAAGAGTGCCCAGCTAACTCTATCGAATGCTTTTTCCGCATCGATAGCCAATAGTATGCTGTCAATTTTGTGTGTTTGTGCCCAATGCACCAGGTTAATTATTTTGGTTGTGTTATGTTTTGCTTCTCTACACGGAACAAAACCAGCCTGATCTTGGTGAATGAGGCCAGGCAGGTAAGGTTTCAGCCTGGTAGCCATGATTTTCGTGAGAATTTTTAGATCTGCATTTATCAACGAGATGGGTCTGTAATTGCCACAGGACAAGGGATCTTTCCCCGGTTTGGGTATTAAAGTGATGGTTGCTTCTAGTGCTGACTTGGGTATGTTAGTCGATAGTTTATGGTCATTAAATGCATTCACAAAGGGCTGTGCCAAGGTTTGGGCTAATAATTTGTAGTATTTCCCAGTGAATCCGTCCGGGCCTGGGCTTTTACCTACAGGGATGGTCTTGACTACCTGTTGGAATTCCTCAACCGTTATGGGTTCATCAAGGAAAGCCCTGTCTATAGGTGGCAGAGTGTGTTTTATTCTGGGCATCAAGAAGTCTACTATGTCTTGTGTGGTTGGTTGGGTGGATTTCAGGTTATATAGATGAGTGTAAAATTTATGGAATGCTTTAAGTATGTCTGGCATGTGGCATGTGGTAGTACCGTCTTCTGTTTTGATTTCGGAGATGAAGCAGGATTGCCTGTCTGCCTGTAGTGTTTGCGCGAGAAGTTTCCCCGCTTTACCTCCCTGCGCGTAGTAGGAGCTTTTTGTGAGCAAGATTTTCCGTTTAGCATGTAGTGTCAGGAGCGTCGTGAGTTCTGACCTTTTAGTGAGTAGGAGATTGTAATTTTCAAGGGAAAAAGCACCCTGATGAGAAGTTTCCATAGCTTTTATGTCTTTAGTTAGTTGGATGATTGTGTGTTCCCTCTTACGTTTAAGTGTCGATGCTATTCGGATCAATTCACCTCTAAGGACTGCCTTATGGGCCTCCCATGTCATAATCGGAGTCGTGTCCACAGTGGAGTTTTCTTTAAAGTAATTTGTGGCAGTGTCTTTAATTTGGTTGATAGCCTCCTTGTTATTTAATATCAGGTCATTGAGTTTCCATTGAGCTGTGGGATTAGGAATGGAGGGTATGGTCAGTCTAAGTGTGAGTGGCGCGTGGTCTGACCACGTGATTGGGCCATAAGAGGCCTTGTTAATCAGGGGTAAATGTCTGTGGTGCAGGAAGATTGTGTTGATGCGTGAGTAGGTACCTGTGGGTGAGGAGTAGAATGAATAATCTTTTTTCGTGGGGTTGACCGCTCTCCAGCTATCATATAGTTGGGCATTGTACAGTGTGTTTTTCCTTTGTAATCTGGACTGTGTTAGATAGCCCTGTGAGGTAGAGGCAGGGCCAGATTAAGAGCCCAGTGGGCCTGGTGCTGACAATTATGATGGGGCCTAATTACAGAAATGTCACGGCCCCAGGCTCGCCGCAAGGTGCAGTCGCACCGGACCAGTGCGACCGCGCCAACGAACTGAGCTTACCTGCTCAGCGGCGAGTCGGGAGCCGCTCTGCCGGGTTCTCCCGGCTGCCTGCCCAGGTTCAAGATGGTGCCGAACATGTGGTCGCAGCTAGATATAGCTCTGCCCCCCCAGGGTCTCACACACACACGTTCTGCAGTCAGAGGCCAGAGGGATATTTAACCCAGGTTATTGTGGTTTTCGTTCCTGGTTCCTGAATCCTGAGAGTGCGTTTCCTTGTCCTGTTTTTGATATTCCCAGTATTTTGACCTTGGCTATTCCTGACTATTCTGATTCCTGGCTTCCCTGACTTGGCTTGTTAAATGGTATTGTATATTTCTGGCTCCACTGACCATTATCTGTTTTTAACGTATTAGTCTGGCCATTCTAAGTACCAGTTTACGTTTTATCATTTTCTGTTCGGTAGATGTTACATAGTTCTGCGACAACACTAGCAGTCATGACAAGAATCTTATCGACCATAGACACTAAAACAGTCATACCTCTCAAGCGTCAAGTATCTAATGGAGATGGTGTTTGAGGGAAACTCAAAGGATGCAGCTTTAAGAAAACACATACACTATGCTAATTTCTCTCTAATTTAATCTTTCAAGTAAATCCATACCCCTTAACAGCAGTGTCCAGTGAAGCAGGAAGTCAATGGGGACACAGACACTAGGGACACAGAGACACAGACACTGGAAGACATGGGGACACTAAGACACTAGGGACACTGGCTGGGAGGCATGGAGACACAGGCATGGAGACACTTGGGGACACTGGGAGACATGAGGACATTTGGGGACACAAGGGACACTGGGAGACATGGGGACACAGACACTAGAGACACTGGCTGGGAGACATAGGGACACTGGGAGACATGGGGACACTGAGACACTAGGGGGACTGGCTGGGAGACATGGGGACACTGGGAGACATGGGGACATAGACACTGGGAGACTAGGGGACACTGAGACAATAGGGACACTGGCTTGGAGGCATGGGGACACTGTGTCTCAGTGTGTCTCCCAATGTCCCCATGTGTCTCAGCATCCCCATCTCACAGTGTCCCCTAGTTTTTAAGTGTCCTCGTGTGTCCTAGTGTCTCGGTGTCCATGTCTCCCTGCTTCCTTTCCCCCCCCCACTTACCTGGCCTGTAGGCTGTCTCTGTAGGCTGGGAGTTGCTGTCTGGCCTCTCTGTGCTGTGTAACTGCTCCCCTGTGGATCAGTGAGTATAGATAGACAGGGAGGGATATGCTGTAACTTCCTATCCCTGCCTCTCTCCACACACACAGTGACCCCTACTGGTTAGTGCTAGTATTGCAGAGTAATCTCCGTTTATACTTAGAAAAATACCTGCATTTGTATTGCCGGTATTACTGCAATACCGGCACGGCCAGGCAGCCTCAAATACCGGCTGTGCTGGTAAAACACCAGTCAGATGGCAAACCTAACAGTAGTGTGTGTTTAAAAAAAAAAAAAAAAAAAGTAATTTTTTTTTTTTTTTTTAAATGGGCCTATTCCATGGGCCTGGGCCTGGAGCTGCAGCTCCATCAGCCCCTATGTTAATCCGGCCCTGGGTAGAGGTGGTGTTTAGGTCTACATCTAATGAGATGTTGATGTCTCCCCCTATTATAAGGATCCCCTCATAGAAGTTATTTAATTTGCGCAGTATCTTATTGAGGGCGTAGGATTGTTTCTTGTTGGGCAAATAGATATTCGCCAGGGTGATTTGGGTGTTCCCCATTTTCCCCTTCACGAAAATAAACCTGCCTGCATCGTCTAACTGTTGGTCCTGGTGTGTGAATTGCGTCTGTCGGCTTACTAGTATGGCTACCCCCCTTGCCTTAGCTTCTGTGTAGTGGCTGAAGTACCCTCTCGGGTAATCCCTGTTTTGGAGCCTAGGGGGGGCGTCCTTACGGAAGTGTGTTTCCTGTACGAAAACAAAGTTCGCCTTATGGCGTTGGAAGTCAGTTAGGGCTACCGACCTTTTCTCTGGGATATTTAGCCCTTTAGCATTTTGCGAGACGACTATTATGGTGGACATCACTGCCGTGTGGTTGACACGCTTGGGCTGAAATTAAGCTGAGCGCTGTGTTAATTATGTTCAATAAGCTGTAGTATATAGATGAGCTGGAGCCTCTGTCAGACTTACCCCGGGGAGTATTCAGGTAGTGTGTGGGGCAGTTGGTAGTACCTGTTACCTCGTATAGGGACGTGTCAGCAGAGAGAGTGGGGGTTCTCCCAGACCCACCCCGGGCGCCCGGTTGCGCAGCTAGCCCAGTCGTTCCAGTTGTAGTCCGGTCTTAGTCTTAGAGGAGTCCGTGCTCGGTTTAAGTGTTCGGTTTAGGTCCCTCGTCTGGTATCACTTAATCCTTAATGCATATACAATTCAAGATATAAGTTAAAATAAAAGTACAAAACAGTGTCAATAACAAGGTAAGTGTAACAATGCAACTAGAGTATTCCCTTGACTTGCTATATCAGTAGTATTGTATTAGTCCTAGACTTCCACTCGAGAGGATTATATTATTACAAGGTATGTGTCTACTTGATTTGTGTGATGTCTATCTAGGGGAGTAAACCCCGTATTGTTCAATACTATTATGGGTGACGTGTAGACGTTCGCACCCAGGGGAGCGTGTAAGATGTTTCCCTTAAGGGGAATATAGTCCTGTCTCGTCTCTGGAGACAGTACCGTACGTAGAATGGGGTTGAGTGCTTCGGGTATTTACCTAGGACCCGGGACTTATTGATCCTATTCACTTAGTCTACCTTTAGGAGAGAAGGTCAGGAGACCTATGTCTAAGGGCGTAGACGGCATGTATGTAAGGGGGAGTAAAACTAGGGGAGTCGGTCACCTGGCCGATTCCAGTTTGAGGGGGGTGTACCAGCTGCCCAGGAGCCCTCCTTTCGTGTTTATGTTATATCTCAGCCTTATCATTGCGTGGTGGTTACTTAGTTAACTATATACACAAAAATTTTTTTTTGTTTTTTTGTTATTTAACTAGTAGAGAGTTCCTTTCTAATTGCTGTCTAATCTAGACTCTAAGTCCTGGGCCGTCCCTTGTGTCCAGATATTTTAGTTCCTTTGGGGTTGACTGTGGTTAGACCTGATCTATCTTTGGTGGATAACCCTGGCTACAAATGACAGCCCTATGGTTATGTCTCAGGGTTACTTCTGATATCAGAATATGCAGTAATCGCTTTTAAGATCCCTGGACAAGGAGCATACCGGAGTCATCGCTTAAGTGTTAGGCTCGACCTGACAGCTCTCAGCATAGGAAATAGACAGTTATATGAAACATGAGTAAAACCATGCTACGTGTGTCATTAGACGTGAGAAGCTCAGTTCATTATCTACATTTTCTTTGAGTATACGACCTGCGAGTGAGATAGCAGTCTCTTTTCCGAGTTGGGATGTCAAACACAGTGTCTCCCCAGTCAGCTCTTAACTTGCTGTGGTGGAAGCTGCTAGGGTCCTGGCATGTATGCAGGTTGAGGAGTCTCGTATGCTGGTTGACTCGGTGGAAAGAAGAGGTTGAAGTTGCAGTGCCGCGTGGTAGTGGACAAAACTCCTGGAGAAGCTGGAAACACCTTCTGTCACTTTAAGTGTCGGGTTGCATGTAGGAAATCAACTTGTGTAGCCGCTTTAGTTGGTGGGGTTTGTTCTCTATTGGGTTTGGGCGACGTGTTGTCTTTCCCGGCGGTGATGAGGTGAGAGGAGTCTGTTCTCCACCCTCCTTGTCTTCGCAGGGGTGGTCCATTTCTGCCTTTGGGAAGGTTGAGTGTTGTCATGGTTCGGTATCGGGTAGTTCCAATCCATTATAGCTGTATCTGGCAAGTCCAGTGCCCTGAGGAATGGGGAGACATCCAAGATTGAGGCGATTTGATGGATGTTACCCTTGTTATTCACTATTAGGGCGAACGGAAAACCCCATCTGTATCTGATATTTCTATTTTGTAGAATCTCAGTGATTGGCTTAAGTGCCCTTCTCGCCTGTAATGTGTACCAGGAGAGGTCTGGGTAGATCTGAATTGGGTTCCCGTGGGATAGGAGCGGTTGCGATGTGTCTCTCAGTGCTCTCAACACCAGGTCCTTGGTTGTATAGTAATGTAGCCTGCAAATGACATCTCTGGGGGAATCTTGCGGTAGCCCCTTAGGTCGGAGTGAGCGATGAGCCCTGTCTATGAGCATTTGTCTGGTGCCAGAGTCCCCTATTACAAGAGTAAAGAGCTCTGTTAAAATGGCTGTTAAATCCTCATTTTGGGCCTCTGGGATCCCCCTTATGCGTAGGTTATTTCTTCTCCCGCGGTTATCTAGATCATCTATATGTCTTTGGGTGGCAGACATAAAATGGATATGTGATTCTAAGGTAGATGAGATATTTAAGATTTGTGCTTGCATTGCATCTTTCTCCTCTTCTAGGTCTGTGACCTTTAAATTCATTTGTTGAATTTCGGTGCCCATTTCTGCTAATTTTGTGTGGAGGGTGGCCTCTAATTTCCCCATCATAGTCTGGAGGTCAGCTTTGGATGGGAGATTCCTCAGCATTTCTTTTATGTCTAAATCCCCACTGTTATCTAATGATTTTAGTGAGTAATCAGACATGTGGGGGCTTTGTGGCTGCATTTCCTCTATGGGATCCGCATCCGCCATCTTGGAGGTCGCGGCCGCGCCCTTTATCTCCCGATCGATATTATCTTTGAAGTAACGGGTGAGGGAGCCCGATTTAGGTATGGGGGTTCTCCCCTGTTGCCCCTGTACCTGTGTTTGCCTCTTGGGATTGCCCATTTTGTTTGTGTTTCTCCGATGGCGGCGGATCGTGCCCGGGTCCGGAGGAGCTGAATCAGCACACGTCCATCAGGCTTCCTGGCTAGACACGCCCCCCAGACATGTTGTTCTTACGTCACAAAAATCTTCCTTTAATCAAATCAGCATTTTGTGGGGTGATCACATGGTCAGACCATGCACCTCTGACACTAGAAATGTTGGTGCCATTACTCCCACCCACTTCACCTCAATGGAAATTGAATGAATGACCTCTTACTTAACAAGGTTGAGGTAATGGCAAAGTTAAAAGAGATACTTTGAAGAAAATACATATCATGGCACAAACCCAGATGTGAAATGGGAAGCTCATAAATCCATCATTAGGGAAGAACTGATCAAGATAGTGTCTGTCCAGAAACATCAGAGGGTGGCCAATATACAGACACTAACACGAGATGTAAAAAAAACTCAAAGACCAGCACCTCAAAGATAGAGCATTTCAGACATTCACAAATCTGACAGCTAAAAGGACAGACTTGTCCACAATGTTACAATT